TTTTGACTGCAATAGTGGACCGTTGCACTATTAATCTATTAATTCCGTATGGAAGTATTTGCATATAACCCCACTACTGCTTTTGAGCAAGAATTTAAATTAAACCATGCGTTCTAGCTTGTTATAAATTAGTAAATAAATTCCAGTCATTAATTTATAACATAGGCGAAAAAAATATAATAAATATTCTTCATTACTTATTTCTTACAACTTTAAAGTGCAACTCAAACATTATATATACTACAATTTTAAATTGTAAATTGCCAGATTTTAATATATATATATATCAAACTGGTTAATAAATAAAAAAACATATAATTAAAATATCGGAGGCATTTAAATCAATAACATCATTAGTATTGTCAGTTTAAGATATACGTAGAATTTGAATTTCTATTTTTTTTAAGTTTATATGTGAAATTTGGTGAGTAAATAGAATATTCATAATTAAATTTGTTCAATATTATTTATATTAAAGTTATTATTTAGTAGTTTGTAAATGGCTTCGGAGTAGGGCCTTGATAATCAAGTTATTATGGCTGAGATAAAGCCTGTAATTAATCAGCCCACATAATTATCAGAGACGGACCATTAAAGAGCCTGTTATTAGACTTTGGTATGAAATTTAACAATAAAAACACGCAAGAAACTATTTTTTAAAATATATATAAAATGGTGCCAATCTAAAATTTGTTTTATAATATTATGTGGATAAATTTTGCAGACGGTGATATCAAATTCTGTTACGACCGATCTTAATCTATATTATAAGATGAAAATATATGAGTTAACAATTTTCATAATTTATAAAAAAAATAGAATTTTATATTATATATTGGTACAGTATTAAAATTGACCACTTAATAAAAATGGCAAAAAACCCCCTAAAATTATCCAAGAAAATAATAGGATTTCACATAATCATCTTAATATTATACATATCTAGCATTTAAAATTTCTTCCTTTTTTGCATTTTATATTTGCTAATTTCAAAAAAAAAAAAAAAGAATGATAACGCAATATTTAGTAATCTTCACGAATTTATGTATAAACACATACAAGACAAATTATCCTAAATTCGAATACTGTAAATGTTATTGGATACGTCCTAGCTATAATAGTATATAAATTGAATTGTGCCATTATTTTAGATCAATGTATTATTTTTCTTAATTCGAATTTAAAAATGTAGATATCCGATCTTTTAATCTAATTCGAAAAAAAAATTAAAGAAAGAAAATCGATCTAACATATAAAAGTAGCAGTCATATAACTTGCGCCCTTTTTCACCTTTGGAAGATTTACTTTGCTTAAAAGAAGTAATCTTTAAATTATTTATTACATAAAAAGAAGATTTATAAAGGAGAAAAAAGAAAACAAAAGAGAAATATTCTCGTCGGGATCAGAGAACTAAGAGATCGGAGAAAGAATGTTGCAGCAATGATCAGTCAATACGTCATCGTTTTATGCATGCAAACGTATACTAATAATAATAATAATAATTAATAAATCATTATGTATTTAATAAACATTCCTTGTAATGCAGATGAATTATGCTAATTTTACTTTTAAAAAAAATAAGATTCAAAACTATGGAATAGTTTTAGTGAAATAATTTTTGCTAGATTGGTCTAAAATACATGAAATAAAATCGGATCACAAAGGAAATTGCTTCCATGTATATATGTATTTATATAGAATAATAAATCATGATGTATATACATACATTTCTTGTCTTTTTATTTTATCTTTTACCTTTTTCTTTAATTTTTTGCTTTATATATATATATATATATATATATATTTTATTTCTTATGCCGTAACTTTAATCACATTCTCTTAGATTTCAGTAGCAAAAGCTCCTCCCATATATTCTTTACTCTTTATCTTTTGGCCCTCTCTTTTGTCTCCGACTTGTCTTTTTAACACCAACTCCTACATTATTTTAATTCGTTAACGGCCCATGAAAATTAATTGGACGTATGGACGTCGTAACAAATAATAAAGAGATAATAACATTATACTTTGGATAAAGATGGTTATTTCGACTTGGATAGGCTAAAATTAGATCAAAATGAATATATAAAAAATTGATTGTTTATAATTTTATAATCAAATCTAAATCGGATATTAAAATAATCATAAAAACAAGTATAAAAATATAATAATCTCTTTAGGAAATGAATATTTTCTAGATAAAAATGGAATACAAATCCGGTAAATAATCAAATCAAATCGAAACTTGAAATATCTACTCTGGTTTGGCTGATTTCTTTACCGTAATATTTATTGAAAAATAAAATACGAAAATTAAATAAGAAAGAAAGACAAATAAAAAAAACCGAAATACTTTATTAATAAATCTATTTTCTTCTTATATTATAATAAAAATAATTTATAGATTTATAGAAAAAGTTATTGAAAAAAATAAGAAAATAAAGATACGAAATAAAAAAAAAGGCAAAATATAATTGATATGATATATATTTTATTCTTAATTTATATTATACCTTTAATTATTATCGATCATATCAAATCTCCATATTTTGTTTCTATTTCAACAATATTAAGTTATATTTCAAACGTAACTTTGGTATAAACTCAATTAATTGGCAAAAATGTTATACAAAATGCACGACACACACACACATATATGGGATTTGTTATGCTTTTCTCATAAGAATAATAAGATATTTTGGTTCGTGAGGGTGCAGCTTTTGCATGGGAGAAGACATAATCGGTACGTACGTTACGTAAATGTAGCAGAAATTAATGCTAAAAAAAGGTGGCAATAATTCAAATGGTACATAGCCAAAAAAGGCTGGTGGTAAATCTGTATTTAACATTCAAAATAATTGTAATAAATTTTAAACGTACAAAACATGCATTCACAAGTACCACGAGGACCACCAATCCCTTCCTTCTATTCTATAGGCCAAAATTAATACTAACAAATCAGAGATACATATATAATTAAGGATACTGCTTATAATAATTTCACAAAAAAAAAATACATCGGTTTTAGTTTAGTGGAAAATAATCCACATGTTTATGGTCGAGTAGCTAGCGTGTTATCCTCCGAACCTTCATATAAAGCGTTCGATTCTCGCATATGGGGAAGGGAGAATTTCCGATTCTTTGCGATCTATATCCAATAACTGCTCCCGAACCTAAGGTGGATATAGTCGGACCGAAGGTACGAGGAACCATTCTGGTTAACAAAAAAAAAAAATAGTTTAGTGGAAAATATGTAAGACACTAACAATAAATTAGTTTGAATAATTGAGATAAATTTTACTGTTACCAGACGAGGGATCCCAAAATGTTCACAATTCCAACTCGATTAACATATTTTTCTTAAGTTTCAACATCGATCCCTTTAATGTGTGTGTATATATATATATATATATATATTTGTTATCTAGGGAGATATTCTAACCCACCAGTACTAAAGATTTCTAGCGAAGTAGATAATGTTATAAAAAAACAATTGTAATTGATAAATATTATTATAAAAATACAAAGTAATATTGATAGTTGAGATTATACAAGTCCCAAATTAGGGAATATGTGTATGAGTTTTGGTTAGAGAGATACATATTCTATCATTTTTAAGATTCCCTTTAGGGATAAATAATTATTGTAAATAACTAAAATCTTAAAACCATTATATAGAAAACAATGATTTAGAACACCCACCCATAATGGTGTTATAGAGAGAGATGTAAAAAGGTCAATCTGTTTTGGGTTCAGTTCGGTTGCAATATGTTTTTTAACATTTAGAAAAATTGTCTTAGATCGATCGGATCGTTTCAACTCAGAAGTGAGTGTGTGAGTCGAATAAAAATAAATAAAAATAATAAAAATATTTAAAAATTAAAACAATATTTAAAAAAATAGTGAAAATATTAAAAAATTAAAAAAAAATCATTCACGAATCATCAGTTCGTGGATTAGCCGAGCTGATTTGTCGGGCCTTTTTTCGAACTCACATTTCTCCATCATGCATGCATTGTGTAATTGATCATAGGATATCATTTGGGATTTGCACCTAATTATATGTTATTTATCAAAATGCCAATCGATCATTGTAATTCAATTCTATTCGGTTTACTACCTTACAAGTTTTATAAATAATTTATGTGTTCTCCATTTCACTATAATAAACGAGGAGAGAGAGAGAGAGAGTCGCTTTTCTTGGGGCATTGAAGATTGAAATTCTGTCTCTCTTCAATGATCTGTCTTAAAAGACAGTGACACTTAAAGATCACATTTCGTTAGTTTTTCATTAATACTCTTTTTTTTTTGCTTCTGTTTCTTAGAATTTAAATCTGTTTCTATTCAGCTTTTTAAAATAAAATTCATTTAGGCCAAAAACGTAATTAACAAGAAGCTTAAACGATTAAAATTGAAACAAAAAAAAATTCAATTAAAGCTTTTCACTGTCTTTAAAACTACTCAATTTATAATGTTATTTTACTATCTTTTTTTAATCTTTCAAAAGGATATCAGTAATTTTTCTATTAAAAAGAAATTGTTTAAAACTATTAACCGAAATTTATAATCTTTAAACAAGGCACTTGCAAACTTTCACCATGTAACCCACAGATGCATACACATATACACGTCCTGGTGTCCTCTACCTGTATGTGTATATAATATGTGAATATGATATGAAAGCAGTGCATATATGATATATGTATGCATATATGTATATATAAATAAGTAAATATATATGTATGTATATATAAGATGATTAGAACGGGATTGACAGATGGAACTTGATCCTGTGGAGGGAAACGAAGCTTGAGGAAAGTGGGAAATTCAAAAAAGCTTCAGAAAGCTGCCTCCCAATTCAAAAGAAGAAAGTAAAAGGAGAAATATAAAAAAAGGAAAAAGAAATTATGATTAAAATACACAAAAACAACATCAAAGTATGAACCCGTCAATATAAAAGCATTGCTTGCTGTGCCCTCTTCTCTTCGATTCTCCATCTTCACCATCCATCCTCCTTGAAACCCTTTCTTCCCATATATACTTGAAATATATACGCTGCTCCATTTTCTTGTTTCTCAAGCTTTCTTTTCGCTGGAGAGGAAGGTCCAAAGTTTCAACCTTTCGTTTTCTGTTGGGGGTTGGTTGGTGAGAAAACAGGCGAGAAAGAGAGGGAAAATTTTCAGACCCAGAGAGAAAATTCTGTTTGTAATGCGTACAGGGGCTAATACCGCTCACCAGACACTAACACCAGAGGCTGCTTCAGTTCTGAAGCAATCTCTTACACTTGCGAGAAGGAGAGGCCATTCTCAGGTCACTCCTCTTCACGTCGCTTCCACGTTGTTAACTTCGACAAGATCAAATCTTTTCAGAAGGGCATGTCTCAAATCCCATCCTTTCACCGGCCTCGGCCGCCAAATGGCCCACCCTTCTCTCCAGTGTCGTGCCCTCGAGCTCTGTTTCAATGTCGCCTTGAACAGGCTCCCTACCAACCCGAACCCTCTGTTTCAGACTCAGCCTTCTCTCTCCAATGCCTTGGTAGCCGCTCTGAAAAGGGCACAGGCCCATCAGAGGAGAGGCTGTGTAGAGCAGCAGAACCAGCAGAATCAGCCATTTTTGGCTGTAAAAGTTGAGTTGGAGCAGCTCGTCGTGTCTATCCTCGATGATCCTAGTGTTAGTAGAGTCATGAGAGAAGCTGGGCTTTCTAGTGTTGCTGTTAAGAGCAACATCGAGGATGATTCCTCTATTGTTTCTCCTGCTTTTTACGGTTCCTCTTCTGTTGGTGTCTTTTCTTCTCCTTGTTCTCCTTCTTCAAGTGAAAACAACCAAGGAACCTTAAGCCCTAACCCTAGTAAGATGTGGCATAATCAGTTGAACCCTCATACTTTTGAGCAGAACCCTTTTTTTCATTTCCCTAAGAGCAGGATCTTTGCCACAGACCCAGTTTGTCCCGGGAAAGAAGACGTAAACCCGGTCATAGAGGTGCTTCTGGGCAAAACTAACACAAAAAAGAAGAACACTGTGATCGTCGGAGACTCGGTGTCTCTGACAGAAAGCGTGGTTGCAAAACTCTTGGGGAGAATCGAGAGAGGGGAAGTTCCAGATGATTTGAAACAAACCCATTTCATAAAGTTTCAGTTTTCACCAGTGGGGTTGAATTTCATGAAGAAGGAGGATATAGACACACAAGTGAGTGAGCTGAAAAGGAAAGTCGAGTCCTTTACATCTTGGGGAGGCAAAGGAGTGATTGTTTGTCTAGGAGACATAAACTGGGCAACTGGTGGTAACGGTGCTTCGTCTTCGAGTTACAGTGCAGTGGATCATTTAGTGGAAGAGATTGGGAGATTGGTTTATGATTATAGCAGATCGGGCAAAAGGATTTGGCTTCTTGGGACATCATCATATCAGACATACATGAGATGCCAAAGGAAACAACCTCCACTTGATGTCCAATGGGCTCTTCAAGCTGTCTCCATTCCTTCAGGAGGACTTGCTTTGACACTCCAGTCTTCCAGGTTTCTTTCTTCTTGGGCTTTTCTCATTATATTCTCTTTCTGGTAAATATAATCAAATTCAAGATCTTCTATTCTATCTTCGACATGACTTTGTTATAGCTTTCATGTTTAGTTAACTTTGTTTTGTCTGGTTTCTTGTTGCAACTGTATACAGCAGATCTATTAGCCTTTCTTTTTCATTGTTCCTATTGTCTTGTCTCAGTGTACTTATCTTTTTCTTTAATGTTTAAAGAGAGATGAACAAAAGAATCGGGTTTTTTCTCATGTCGATTTTTTCCTCGTTGAACACTGCAGCACTCACAGTCCAGAGATGGATTCTCAAGTGACTGAGAGGAAGCCATTTGGCGTGAAAGAAGAAAAAGGAGGAGAAGTAGAAGAAGATAAGCTAAATTTCTGTGGAGAATGTGCTTTCAACTACGAAAAGGAAGCAAAAGCCTTTATATCAGCTCAACACAAACTTTTGCCTCCTTGGCTGCAACCACAAGGAGACAATTCCAACCAAAAGGTACCAGATCTACCCTTTTGTCTTTTCCGAATTCTTCTGCAGTCCAAAGTTTCGGTTTTTCTTAACGGGTTTCATCGGGTTTTAAGTTTCAGGATGAACTGAATGGACTAAGGAGGGAATGGAACAGATTCTGTCAGGCGCTTCACCACGGCAAAACTAGCTCTTCTTCCTCGGGTTTGCCCCCCTACGTGTGGAGGGCCGGGCAGGGAAGCTGCCTTTTCCCGGATTCATCGGCTTCTGTCTCATTTGCAGATTCAAGTCTGAAACCGAGCTCCCGTGCGTTGAGTTCCGTGGCTAAATTCAGACGACAAAACTCATGTACTATCGAGTTCAGTTTCGGAAGTGATCAAGACTGTCCTAAGACTGATGAGCCAAGATTAGATGGATTCAAGGGAAACGAAGGTGAAGAAACCAAGATCACTCTTGCTCTCGGCCCTTCTCCCCTCCCATCTGATTCAGAGCAATCGGAGGAAGAAGAAGAAGAATCAAAGAGGACTGATAAGATTACTGATTTATCTGAAAAGCTTCACCAGAATCTTCCATGGCAAGCGAATGTTCTTCCTTCGATTGTTAAAGCTCTGACAGATTCTGTGCCGAGCAGGAAT